GAAAAAAATTTCCCAGGGAAGATCTGTGAGTGGCAGAGCCTGAGACACACGGTGACTCCAGGGGTGAGGAAGAGACAGGCCTTCTCCCCTCCCCAAAGTCAGGACACTTTCATGTCCGTTTGGCTCAAGATGACCACGCAATGCGAGGGGCCAGGAAAAAGTGTGGCAAATGTGGACAGTTTAAAATGAATCATGGTAAAAGATACATCGCCGCGAATCCCCTTCTAAATCCTCCCCTGTCTTTGAACACATTCACCTCATCTTTCTCACAGTCCCGGAGTCCCCTTTCCTGACGAGTGATCAAAACTACAGAGACTACTGGCACGCGGCATCCAACAGGAAGGCAGGCGCGTAAAAACTGGGTCCTCGTGTGCCTCCATCCACTGGTCTGGCCGGCACCGTGCAATGCCTGCCTCTTTCCCCAAAGTCAAAATGACCGTGAAAGGGAGCCGTTCCAAACCGATTCAGGACATAATTTCCACAGAAAGATGAGATGGCAGGCAGTGCCTCCCTCCTTGCATTTGTGTCTTGTGAAAATCGCACTCGGATTCCACGTCCATAGCTCAGAGGAATTAAAAGATGTGCAATAGCCAAGGGTTTAGCTCAGTGGTTTGGCTGCCTGCCTCGCAAGTACAAGGATCTGAGTTCGATCCCCAGGCCCCCCCAAAAAAGATGTGCAATACAATGATTGTGCGGCAGAGAATGCAGGTGTATTCCGCCATTCATAATAAAAAAAAGAAAGGAACTGTAAGAGCCAGGCTGGCTCCCTTCAGTTTCTTTCTCCTGTTTTCCCCAAGCACTGTCTAATCAGTAATCAACCAGTTAGTCATTTCTTTTTGTTGCTATAACAATAACTCCCTGCATTTCAAATGCTTCGCAATAGAAAAGAAAAAGAATAATAACGGAGAATGAAGGAATTACATCTGAATGGCATTATTCCTGGCTTTATTAAATTTGCTCTTACACATGTTTATGGAGTCAGAGAGCTGGTTCTCCCCAAGCAGCAAATTCCACATTAATAAGTGCTGGGGGGTGGGGCGGCGAGTCTCAGAATGAAAGGCCTTCCATGCAAGGCCTGGGCTTGCTGTGCCTTTCATTTTCTCCCAAATAGCTCATCCCGCCAGCTGCGGCAACTAAGGCCTGGCCTGCCTCGAACTTGATTAAACCGCGAAGACAACCTTTCCCTGTCCCTGAGAGATCAAGGGGGGCAGGAGGGGCCAAAGGGGATTTCACAGATGGTCTCCCAGCTGCCCCTCTGCGGCAACGACGACGTGGGACCCCTGTGGTCAGAGCTTGCTTTACTGCTGCGTAGCCAATCCCAGGATGGGCGTCCTGGACCCCAGCTTTAGAGCAGAGGCACCAGGTAATTAGTATGGATGACAAAGAGTGCCTTCCACACCGTGGTTTCCAGGATCCTTGGGGTCTGACGTCTAAACGCATTTGACTTACAGCCTACAGCGCTGCCTCTGGATGCCTGTTTGGACCCCTGTGGGGTACACTGGTGCCAGCCCCTCAAATGCCTCTGCTCTATTAGAATTCCCACCTTGCCAGTCTCACTGCCCTAAGGTGGCTGGACAACTGGTTTACCTAGCCTGCTTTGCTACAAAGATCGATGCCGGACAGTGGCAGTGACAGCCTCTGTCCGTGTGACACACACCCCAGAGGAGGGTGGTCCCGAAGCCCTGCACCTTGGAGAAAGCCGCCTGCAGCAGCGGCACCCAGCTTGGGAGGTGGGGAGGCCACATCAGTGTCCTGGGCCACGCTGGGTGTCTTTGCTGGTGGTGGGGGTGAGTGCGGCTGTGAGATCTTGGCGCAGAGTGTGTGGAGTACTTCGGGGCATCACTCCCTGAAGCTACACCCGGAGGCAGGACCCCACCTCCTGACAACCCCAGGCTCTGCGGAGTATTAATAAATAAACTCCTTCCTGCATAATCAGCCCGGTCTGCTCCGGCAGCTTCCAAGGGCCTCGCTGGTCACACAGCCCTGCCCTTCTCCCTGCCCAGCGTGGGCTGCGGGACTTCCGTAATGATGCGGGGAGATGTAAGTGTGAGTGGTTCTGCAGACTGTCTGGGAGACCAAACCCACCCATCAGAACGGACAAAGGTTCTGGGGGGCAAAACCATGCTTATTACTAAGCCATTGTCATCTTCGGGTCAAAAGCCACCGTCATCTGTGCAAGGCCAGACTTATAACCCCGCAGCCCCTGCTCCGCATGTGCCTGTGCATGTGCGTGTGTGGGGAACAAAGGAACAGCACCTGTCAAGGCTCTGTGTTTGGAAAGATCCTTACTACAGATAAGAAACTGGGCTGGGCGACCCTCCCAAGGTTACAAAGCACCCAACTCCGAATCACACTGGAGGCCTGGCTCTGCCTGCCAGGAACATACAGCCAAGCACGTACGATGCAGTATCCCGGATGGGCCCTCCGGGCCCACTGCCTCTAGTGTCCTGGGAAGGAGGCACACATAGTGAGACCCGGCGCGGCAATGGGGCCATAGGAAGCACCCCAGGCACCAAACAGGCTGATGTCTCACAAAGGCTGCGTGTCTGGCTTCTACCTAGGTTTCTGTCCCCGCCGAGGGCTCCAGCTGACAACAAACTGCTCCAACTCCGAAGACTGCATCTCCTTGGCTCAGGACTTCAAAGGCCAGAGCGAGGCTCCTTACTCCCCAGCCCCCAAACCAGCAGAGGACAGGAGTAGAGAGCAAGGGGCACTCGGAGAAGCACTCATGATGTGAAGGGTCTTACTAGCAGTTGCTGATGGCTCTGTCCCCGGAGGAGCCTCCTCCATCCCACCCACGGGGTCCTGATTCTCGCAGCATCTCTGCTGAGCTCTCCTGGGCTGGGCACGAGGTCCCCCAACTAAAACACTGCTCCCCTCCACTCAGGCTTCCCAGAGGGGTCCCATGGGGTGTGGGGGGCAGTGCACACTCCCTAAGTGTCACACACACACGCACACAAAAGTGCACAGGACACATGCACATGGGTACACACGCACCCAAAACGTCAGCTTTGGGAAGGGTGCAAGCCAGGTCTGAGCAGCCCATCTGGGCCCTCCTGAATGCCTCACTAGCGGGCTCTGCGGCTCTCATGTCCAGCCCCAGACGGGCCCGCTCTGCTCTGCTGACCCACCCACAGCACGCTGGCCTGGCGCATCCACCCACTCTTCTACCCTGAACCCAACCTCAGGGTGGCCTTGCTTGGTGACCAGGCTCTGCAGAAGGACTTGAGGGTCGAGGCCAGGAGCCCTGCTGACTCCTTCAGATGCTTTCTCCTCCTCTCCCTCTCTCCACGTTGGGATTGTCTGCAACCTGCACTTGGGACACCTCCACCCCGTCCCCAGACCAGTCCCAGGCCCTGCCATTCTGCCTCTTCCTTGTGGCTCCTTCGCCGTTGCCTTGCCCCCAAACTACCTCCTCCAGAAGCAGCCGTAGCACACAGTGGCTCCGGCCACTGAGGGCTTGCATCACCCTCTCCCGGTGCCCAGGGCCCTTGAGGCAGAGCTGGTTTGGTGGCCACGCCGGCTCGCTCCGCTCCTTTTCTCATTCCTCTCCCTGAACCTGGGGTGTCCTGGTTACCTCCACCTGGCAGGCAGCTTAGTCCAGAGCTGCCCGGTCCCCTCTGGGCCCACAGCACTGCCACACACAGAAAAAGAAACAAGCCCGGGGGCCCTGGAAGCCCCACCTGAGCCCGGAGGCCTGGGCACTCTGCCCGCGTGGGCCTGGGTCCCAGTTCTATGGGATCCAGGATGGCTGCTGGAAAGCTTGCTGCCTCGGCCCCACTGGCTCAGGGCTGGGCTTTAGGTCACATCCTTCACATTCGGATCCCGTCACACATACGTGGCTTGTACAGAAATACACAATCCCGTGTGTGCACACACTCACACACAGCCTGGAAGGGTCCTGTGCAGAAGCCAAGGGATGCCTGGGCAGCCGGCAGGACCACAGCCCCGGAGGCGCCTTCTACAGGCGGGGAGGGGTTTCTGAGCGCTGCGACCCCAATAAAGGACATAGGGCGAGACAGCCAGAGTGGGCAGACACATTTTATTCCACCCTCCGCCGGCCCCCAGGGCCACCTAAGGGGGAGGGAGGGCAGGACAGGGGTCTGCCACAGAGCCCCGCTTCCTGGGGGCTGAGCCTGGCAGGGCAGGCAGGACGGAGATGCTGCCAGATTGGCAGTCGGGGCACAGCGACCCCATCAGACGCTCACTGTGCACCTGGTGACACCCGGACGACAGCTCTCACCGGCCAGGGAGGAGAAAGTGGCAGAGGCAGTGACGAGGTTGCTGGGGGCCAGTAGAAAAGTCGCGCACGCACTCACGCTGGGCCAGTGAAAGGCTCCGCCGGCCCCCCGCCACTC